ATCTAACGGCAAGCTCAGGAAAAGGCCAGATCCTATGAGTTTGGAAGGGGAAGTAAGATGAGCTGATGTGAGTGGGCATGTGAAGAGGTGGCTAGCGTCGTCGGGGCATCTTATTCAAATTGGACTGCACAGTTTAACCTGCTACAATATTCGGAATGGAATAGTGTCAAAGTACCGCGAGCCTCACGGAGCAACTCGGGCTCATCGTCTGCGATAGATGGTGTTGGTCTCCGGTACTGAAATTTAAAGGGTGTTCATTGATTACCGATGAATGGCTTGTCTATAATAGACTATATTCGTATATTCGGTCTGGTTTAGTGAGTGGGGTATTCTCATTCAGACAATCTGTTCTACAAGCTCGATTTTTTCCCGACAAACTACTGTCGTTTTAGCGATCAACTTTACATGCTGTTGTTTTTCCCGAAGAGGGACTGTTGTTTTAGCGATCGACTCTTTTTAAGATCGGTTAACCCCATTAAATGTGAATTTTTCAAAAAAAAAATTTCTGTTTTACTTGTAATCCAAAATACTTCAACTTATTTTGCCTTATTTATTTTTAAATTAAACCTATACATATTTTTAGCAGTCAGATTATAATTTTTGGCCATGTAACAACAACGCATTTTTTAAATAAAACCGGTTTGGCGGTTTTTTTCTTACTTTAAAAGTGAGAGACCGGTTTTTTTCAAATTGGCATTTTTTAGAATATCTGGAAAACTGGTTTCCGAGGCATTGTTTCTCTTCTTCGTTGGAAGAAGTTTTTACGTGGCGGGTCCCAAACCCAGCGCACAACCCATTGCTGGGACTTGTAAGGTTTCGCAACCAAATACACGTTTGTATAGCTAGCCGCTTGCTCCAACACAGAAACCCGCTGCAACCGCACCTACTGGTAAACAGACGCTGCAGACGTCAGTGAGCCCTTAAACCGAATAAGTCGGTGTGGCCCCACTGAAGCTCCCTCTCTTCCTGCCGTGACCCAAGGCTCCACTTGGATTGGTTACCGTATCTCGCACATGTGTTGCTCACGTTGCCCAGAGTGCGCGAACGAGGACGCAAGAGTCGGGATTGAATATAGCCGTGCAACTGTAACTGCATACCCAGCACAACAACAATACCCCATTGCGCTCCAACTGGTATGGTGAAGAGTGTCAGGAAACTGCAGAGAAAAAAGATTCCGCCTACAGGGCCACGCTGCGATCAGGCGCAACGCGCGCTATGTGAGACCGCTATAGGGATGTGAAGAGGGAAGCGAGACGTATGTGCCGTAATAAGAAGAGGAGGCCAAAATACGTGAGTGTGAAGAACTTGAATTACTGGCCAACAGGAAGAACACCCGAAAATTTTACCTGAGACTTAGGCGACTTACGGAAGGCTTCGAGACCAGGGCGCACTCCTGTAAGAACAACAATGGCGAACTAGTAACCGATGTTCAGAACGTACTTAAATTATGGAAGGAACACTTTTCCACCCCACTGAATGGTAGCGGCACAGAAAGTTGTAGAGAAGAAGAACCCGAGCCCCCAGTCCATGATGACGGAGTTTATGTTCCACCGCCTGACTATGACGAGCTACGAATAGCAATAACGCGGCTGAAAACAACAAAGCTGCTGGAGCTGACAGCCTGCCAGCTGAGCTATTCAAGTACGGTGGCGAGGACTTGATAAGGTGCATGCATCAACTCTTATGCAGAATATGGTCAGATGAACGCATGCCCGACGACTGGAATTTAAGTGTGGAAAAGACCCGCGAGAAAAGGATCGACACTCACCACCTATTTATCGACTATAAAGCCGCTTTCGACAGTACTAAAAGGAGTTGCCTATACGCCGCTATGTCTGAATTTGGCATCCCCCCAAACTGATACGGTTGTGTAAAATGACGTTGAGCAATACCACCATCTCCGTCAGAATTGGGAAAGACCTCTCCGGGCCGTTCGATACCAAACAGGGTTTCAGACAGGGCCACTCCCTTTCATGTGACTTCCTTAATTTTATGTTGGAGAACATAATAAGAGCTGCAGAACTGAACCGCTCAGGAACAATTTACTACAAGAGCGTGCAATTGCAAGCGGATGCCGATGACATCGACATCATCGGAAACAAAAACCGCGAAGTCTGTTCGGCCTTTTACAAGTTGGATAAGGAAGCAAAGCGAATAGGTCTGGTGGTAAACGAGAACAAGACGAAGTATCTCCTGTCATCAAACAAACAGTCAGCACAGCAGCGCCTTGGCACCCACGTCTCTGTTGGCAGTTATAATTCCGCATTAACACCGATAATAATGTCAGCATGGAAATCCAATGCAGAATCACTCTTGTCAACAAGTGCTACTTTGGACTGAGTAGGCAAGTGAGAAGTATAGTCTCCTCTCGTCGTAAAAACCACATGGGAGGTAGCATAGATGCAGGCAGTCCGTTGAGATTGCAGCTTTGCGACGTCGAACCTTTCCCATATAGCCAAAGCGTATCTTGGCTGCAACTAATCGCTGAGCTCCGAGTCAATTTTTCGTCGTCTAATCTTACTTACCTCTCGATAAATCCATTTATGACAAATCCGAGTTCTAAAACTACCATATTTTAGGCGCCGCAGTCCGTAGTCTGATGCTTCGGCGGTATGGCTTAATTTTCTGACGGCGGGACCAAATATTTCTTCCTTTTCCATCTTGGCTCTGAAATTGTCTAGCTCAATTTTTATATCTCTCGTAGATGCACTTCTAGCGCTCAGAAAAGATGTCTTCGGATACCTCGCTTTGATGCGGATTGTGGGGATATGTTCGGCCACCAAATTTCCGCTACTTTACGTCGCAAGACTCCAGGAGTATTTTGACTTGCCCGTCCATCGCATTCAGATGGCTGCGATGTCTGCGAGTCGGCCTTAGTCTTCCATAGAACATTTCCCCAAGAGCCACTTTCTCCTTTAAGAGTCCATCATTAGTCCTTTAAACGTCTTTTGAGATCATCTTAAAAAGAAGTGGCTCTCATCTGAGTCATTAATTTCCTTTTTATTGGGGTTACTTTTTACATTTCGGGTCCTAGTCACAGAGAACAATCAGAAAACTGCGATAACTTTTAAAGTAGCCCACTAAAGCGCCCTCCCCCTCTGTCGTGACCCAAGGCTCTACGTGGGTCGTGCAAACGCGTACACGATAGTAAGAAAAAAAGATTAAGTAGTGAAGCAACGGTAGTTGCATACTCAGAAGCCACACTATATGCTGCATTGGTATACTTCATGTATGCCATTATTTTCTTAATTCCTACAGGGCTAATATGCAAAACTTGGCTGATTTTTCTGTAGCAGCGCTTTTAGCGCAAAGCTCCAGTTTGATGTTAAAAAGCTCTTAAGTTAACAGAAAGTTGATAGCATTATTTTCACATATCAAAACACCAGAACTTTCTGGTAACATGCTATACCTACATATGTATATACACTCTGAAAAATTTTTGTTTAAATTTGCGCATATTAAGATAGGTAACCAGTTTCCTCTCTTAATGAATGCAAATTTAAACACTGCTTGCTTACTTTTACTTATCATATGTGTGGCTTAAAACAAATTTCTAATTTGTTTTTTGAGTTTTAAACATTTATTGTTCACATTTTCACAGTTTAACATAAAATGTTTAAAATTTCCTCTAAAATATTTTCGTTTAAATTTACGCATATAAAGAGAGGTAACCAGTTTCCTCTCCTATTGTGTGCAAAATTAAACAAGGTCTGTTTACTTTTACATATCAAATTTGTCACGTAGCGCACACAAGGGGTGGTTTTGGGCTAAATTTATTATGATATAAGAAATTTTGAAAGAAAAAATTTTCTTTTCCATATCTTGTGTGACATTTTGTTAGAATTTTTCTTTTTTTCTTGAGAGCTCTTTAAAGTTTAACTGCGAATGAAAACATTGTCCTAAAAATATGCAATGCATACTCACTTACTGTTGCCTTTTACACTTTACAGCCTAAAAAAGTTTACCACTGATATGTACTTAATAAGCATTCGAAGATTTAATTTGCTAACTTCGAATTCGTTCCACCAAAATGAGCTACATGATAAAAATACAAGTTCAGTTAAATTTTCGTTATTCGAATTATTAAAAAATGAGAAACCAGAAATCGACGAAAATTAATAAAGAAGTGTAAAAATTTCGTGAAATTATTTAATTTATTTATCTTAAAATTCTTTTGTAAAATTTTGTATTACTTTTGAAAGTTGAGTGCATCTTTAACCGTTAATTTTTTCATGATTTAATGATCGGATCTAAACCAAATTACGAGACGACCCTTAAGGTACCACCTTTCCGGTAAAAAAAATAATTATTGGAATCGGTTCACGCGGTGCAAAGTTATGCGGTGCAATAAATAAAAGAAGTAAAAATACTCCGCAGAATTGATAACCTCCCCTTTTTTGAAGCCGGTTGAAAATGTCTGAGTTCTTTGTAAATTTTATGTAAATAAAATGCAATTGATGATACTTTAAAAAGTTTATTTATTAATTACATACTGTAAATAAAACTTTCATAAATGTATTTTAAAGAGCGAATTTTCAGTATTTGCTGATGATGTATAGTTAGAAGTATAAACCCTTCCCCCCCAAAAATATATTCCTGCGTGCGCCCCTGGGACTTAGTATTTATTATTTGTAAAAAATATATTTTTACTTTCCAAATGTTTCTAATTTTAAACATTTCATGTGTATATTTTAAACAACTCATGTTCAAAATCAAATCTTGAACATCCTGTGCGTATACTTGAACAGATTCTGGTTGAAAAATAAACACTTTTCAGTAGTAGTTTTACATGCACTTTTTAGAGTGTACATTAGCATGCGCCACGAAAAATTTGCTTGCGTCTTCAAAATATATTGTCTCAACTCGGTGGCGTTAATATTAAAAAAAAATATCCCTACAAATCGCGTTCCCCATCATAAAACTTTTAGCTGGAATTATTTCGAAACTAACTAAATATAATAATAATAAAAAATAATAAAATAATTAATAAAAGACCTACAAAACCTTTAATTTTTTCATATATTTTATTCACAATGCGGCATTAACATTAAGCAAAAGCAATTCATTTAAGCTCAGTTTATAATGTTCGAGATTACGTTGTATCCAAGCATCCATTTTGCCTATAACATCCGCAGATAATTCGTCTTTATAGCCACCTGCCTGGCCGCGACGTATAAAGCTGTGAAATTAAAGTAGATATGTAATAGTTAATTCTTTTCTAAAAATTTTTCTTCTAAGCCTACTTGTGATCTTCATGTTTATTTTTATATTTGGCACGCAATTGTTCAAACTCCCAACAATGATTCACTTTGGGGTTCTCTGCAAAAAAAAATAATATAGTACGGGGAAGTTTTTGCTAAAGAATGTTATTTTAAAAATTGTGACTTTATTAAACAAAAATTAGACATATGTATGTATGTACATTGGGGTAGTCCTTAAAATCAAATTACTGATTTTTTTTCAGTCTCACCCCCCAATCAGTAACACCACATTAACTTTTTTTCATCTAATACCCAGAATCGATGCTACCATAGTCGAAGATATAACATATAAATTTTGGTCCCAATTGGAGTCAGTTAAGGCGTTTCGCAAAGGGGTCAAAGGCCAGAAGGATCTATGGAGACTCAAAAAATATATAATATTATAAATATTTTTTTTTAATACTTAAAATACTACTAAAGTCGAATATATCACATACACATTTTGGTTCCGATTCTGAACTTTGCCCCTCTGCGACACGCCTTAACCGACTCCAATCGGGACCAAAATTTATACGTCATATTTTCGACTGTAGTTGCATCGACGTAGGGGTTGAGGCTTACGAAATCGGATGTAAAAATTTGCTCTCTGCATTTAATGACCACCCTAATTTACATATGTGGTTATTTTCTACCTTTACTCACTTTTCATTTCCTCGAATGACAAATGTTGCAACATTTGCTCCATTTGTTCTTCGCTTATATTTTTGCCTAGAAACTTGCAAATCTCTTCTATAACCGTTCGCAAATCCTCTTTCATGCACTCAAAACTAGTGTAGTATATCCAAGGTTCATTCCGCAATTCATAAAATTCAGTTACATGCTCAAAATCATCAGTTGGAACCGTTTTATCTTCCTCGGTGTATTCTAGGGTAAATTTCTCCAGCGTACTATCCATATTGACGCCAAGGCTGCGTAAGTGATAGAAACAAGAAACAATATAGTCTTTTGGATTGCGATAAACATAAACGACCTATAAAGGAAAAGAAAATAAGAATTCCTATTTGGTTATAAGAAGCATTAAAAAGTAAGAATACTCTACCTTAGGTTTTTTGTTCCACAGTTGTTGGGGTAGCAGCGGCAATGGCATGTGTGTTTTTATAAGACGCGGTGATTTAAGCGCTTCCACTGGTGCAAGAGCGTGATTTAAGTCGTGGTGTAAGATATAATCAAATCTGTTAAAATAAATGTTTTTATACAAAGGGTGCATATATACATACTATATTTTTATATATCCATATATTGAGCTGCATGTTTTTAAAATTACTACTTGACTTTAAAATGCATTTAGCTTGAAGTAATACAAAGTCAGTATGTTTCTTTTACAGATGACTTTTCATGCTGAAATAGGTAATTGCCCACAGTTAGATGATTTTACAACTACACTCTAAAATTTTTTTTGTTTAAATTTGCGCATATTAAGATAGATCACCAGTTTCCTCTCTTTATTAATGCAAATTTACACACCGGGTTAATTAAATTTGAACTGCCTGTTTACTTTTACTTATCATATGTGTGGCGTAAAATACATTTCTAACTTGTTTGTTGAATTCTAAACATTTATTGTTCAAAACTTCACGCTTTACACATAAAATGTTTAAAATTTGCCCTAAAAAAATTTTGTTTAAATTTACGCATATAAAGAAAGGTAACCAGTTGCATCTCCTAATGTGAGCAAATTTACACAGCGTGTAATAAAATTAAACACTAACTTGACGTTTACTTACCAAATTTGTCGCATAGAGCAAAATTATACATAAAATGTTTAAAATTGGATAAGTGCGAGCACTTAATGTTTACTATTAGTAAAAAGTGTATATTTACTTTCACATTTTTTGCAACTTTTAAACAATTCATGTGTATATATTCAAAATCAAATCTTGAACATCTTGTGTGTATATTTACACAGATTCTGGTTGAAAAATAGACACTTTTCAGTAGTAGTTTTACATGCACTTCCTATAGTGTAATATTGAAATATTTGCAAAGATATGTATCAAAAGTGTAAGCATTTGGTTTATCTCAATGAGGCTGCTAGGTGATTATACATCAGTTTAAAGTTAGTTGCTGCATAAGTAGAAATAAACTAATTTTTCTGAGGTAATTGGTTGAGCTACGCCGTAACTTTTTTATAAACAAAATTAACAAAATACAAATTTTTATTCCCAAAAAACCTGACAACCCTCATCGAAAACATTTTCGGACTAAAGTTCTCAAAAATATGTGCATACCTTTCGTTTGATATCCATATTGCGATTCTTTAGTTAAATTTTGTAGAATTGAAAATAAGTGGCAGCCTTACACTAATATCCTAAGGGATAACACGTAGTATACTGGCAAAGCATTGTTTAAGAGCCTTCTTTTAGTGCTCATTAATAGTAATATTGTACCTTTATTTTCTACAAAAAAAACTAAACCAATAGGCAATTCAAAATAAGTGGCAACCGTGTTCCAAAATATTTCTGAATCGGGGATTTTTAAAATCCTTCCACTGGATACCAATATTATGGTGTTTTATTTAAATTGTAACTAATTTCGAGTAGGTGGCAACCTTATATGAATATCCTCAGGGATAATACTTATTTAAATATCCTTAAAATGCAAAGCCTTATCTGTATAAAAAATTTCATAAAAAGCGTTTTTTATTTAATTATCACAAGCAAATAGCTAAGCCATGGTCAAATAAAACCAAATTAGCCCCTTTCCTATGTTAGACTAATTTTGAGAATTGAATATTTAAAAAATATTCAAGATCAAGTCTTTTTGATCGTTTTTTTTTGTGCGAGTGTCTACTTCATGATATTAACGCACACGATTTACTTAGAGCAGCGATGGGCAGAGAGATCTTTTACTCTGCACGCATCTACACCAAATGTATAGAAAACTTAAGAGAGCTTTGCCCGCGGGCATGGTGGTGCCCATCACCGACTTAGAAACTTCGAAATTCTCAGTTCATATGCAGTGTTTATCTCTGCGGGCGATGAGGCATGGTGGGAGATAACTATTTATCGCATTGGCCTACTTTGTAGTAAGCAGACATGCATGCAATTTTGATACAAATATTTTGAAAACTTTTAATCTATATACATATGAGTAGTCCACTTGCAAACAGCGTTATGTGATTTTATAATAGTAAGCCATAAATTTAAAAAAAAAACGTCTAGAACAACAAGTAACATCCAAATTATATATTTATTTTTATTATCTGAAAATTTGGATAAATAAGAGCCTAATAACATTATAAATCAAAACCGCAGTGTGGTAGTTTTTGCAAATTTTACATACAGGGTGTCCCAGAAGTAATGTGCCAAACTTTAGGGGAAGGTAGGTGGGAGGGGGGGTGAGCTCACTGATAAACAAAAAAATTTCAGGTAAAAGTGTCACCGTTTTTGAAATATTTACATTTTTTCGAATTTAAAAAAATCGTGCCTTTTCATGTGTTTTCTTTAACTGCAACTACAAACCGGGCAATACTTAGGTCATTTTTTATGTAAAATACTTCCAGATAGTTGCCTCTCCATACTCAAATGCAATGTAGTTAAAATATATTAAGGAACCATCATAAAATTAGGACTATTTTGGGATTTTTAAGTTTTTGATATTTTCTTCCCCAACTTTGACTATCTCGGGTGAAAAAAAATGTACTGAGCTATAACTTTACATTACACAAAAAAATTGCTCATTTCATAAAGATTTCAGAAAGGTGCCACACTTACTGTGCTTAAGTGCACATTTAAGATACCTAACCCAAAATGCGCATCAAAAGCATTATTTTTAACATTTATAAGGAAACTGCTCCGATAGATGCATTCAACATACCTGCACATTGGCGATACCTGCCTTAAAAATTGTGCGACTAGTATCAATTATCAATGAAAGTATTACGTTTACCTGCACTGGCCCTACATTACCTAATTTTATTTATTTTGCTCATCTCGCAGAACAGCGAAAATGGCTATCAACTTATGTAGTTATATAGATAATTAGATAACATTCGGTAAAAATTTCGCTTGCAGAAATTTCTACATGGTAAGAGCTCCGCCAATATTTGGTTTAATAGGGATTCGGATACCTTCCTCATTGAAGTAGTAAAGAAAATTCGCTTAAGTGCCTTTTTCGGTTACGTGCACAAGTTTTTCGTGCAAAGAAGGATGTGCAGCTAAGCAAAATATACTGTATTGCATTTGAGTATGGAGAGGCAACTATGTATCTGGAAGTATTTTACATAAAAAATTACCTAAGTATTGCCCGGTTTGTAGTTGCAGTTAAAGAAAACACATGAAAAGGCACGATTTTTTTTGAAATTCGAAAAAATGTAAATATTTCAAAAACGGTGACACTTTTACCTGAAAATTTTTTGTTTATGAGACTGTGAAAGGGGGCGGCAAATCCCAAAGGCGTGGAATATTTTACCAGTTATAACTTCCGAACCGTAAGTCACATAAACATGACATTTGGTACGCAGGCATATCTATGGTAGGTGCTTATAGTAAGGTAGCACTCAACACAGGCTTGCAATTTTTTATCAGCCATAACTTCGGAACCACAAGTCACATGACCCCTTTAATTCCTTCCGGCGTGGGGTGAAACCCGCGGGTAAAAGCTAGTCTATATAATAAAAAAGAAAAAATTTTCGTATGTTGGCGATGCCTGACCAAACGGCTGAACCGATTTCAATTCTGTAAAAAGTACTTTTTTGGACCTTCTGTGTGGAAGGTTTTTCGATTTAAAAAAATTTGAAACTTTTTGTTGCTGTTGCCGAAAAATGAAGAATGCTGAGACGTTACGATTTCATAATTTTATAGAGTTTTCTGTACATTAAATGTCACTAAACCAGTGACCGCCAAACACTTTCCTGGGAAACGAACTATATTCGGCCTTTCACATCAGTGATGCCAGACATTCTCTGTTAAATATCCCACGGAAATGGGGAAAAAATCCCTCAATTACCCACATCTTGAAAATTTATCCCACAAAATTCCCAACGAATTTAAACATATACATGTTTCAGTAGTAAAGAAGTAAAATTCATATAAAATAATAATAATAGTTTGGCGCTTACACATATGTGCTTTTCCTCCAATTTGTGGCGGTCCCCTTGATGTTGTCACACAAAGGGGAGGGACCTACAGTTTTACGCCGACTCCGAATGGCGAGTGTATTTTTATGAGAAGCTGTTTTTCATGGCAGGAATACACTCGGAGGTTTGCCATTGCCTGTCGAGGGCCGACCGCTGTTAAGAAAAAACCCCTTTTTCTGCATTTTTTTCACTCATTCATTTTTTCCCTTTCATTTTTTTGCTCACTCACTAAGGGCCTAAAAGAATTTTTTGGTGACTTTAAAATTGAAGCACATTCATGTGCTATTTAACATTTCATCAGATAATTTGTTCCGCTTTTTACATGAAACACCAGTTACAACTGAAAAGATTCTTTCTTACTCAGTGCTTGAATTGGTTAACGTAAGAAAATTTTCGAAATTGTCCTTGTACTTTTTAACAATTATATACCATTTCACTCCACATCACATCTTCAGAACGATTAATTACGTAAGAATGTCGAATATTCTTGAATTTTGATCAATTATGCAACAATAACTGCGTCAAAAGAAAATCCCTTGTTTATATGAAGTGTCCCTTTTTTCCCTTTAAATAATTTTTGATGCAAAATATCCCTCAAATAGGGAAATTACCCACAATCTGGCATCACTGTTTCACATGTACACAATCGGCTTCTTACACGTACACAATCCGAACGTCAACAGAAAGAGTAGCAGAGCAACAAATTTTATTTAGTTGCATGCCAACAATAGGCGAAGCAGGTTGATGACGCATGTCCGTGCATTACCACCAACACATTCTCATTTTTTATTTCATAACTAATACATTCTCATTTTAAGACTTCTCTTTTTGGCGGACACTGCACTAAACTACTAAACTGCTAGCCCGATTTGGTTCATATTTGGAATATATGTGAGTACCTTGAAGGGAAATATTTCGACTAAAAATTTAGTCGGTAGGTGGCACTGGTGTCCGGATTTTTCTAAAAACTGCATTTAGTTGTAGATTTGGCTCATATTTAGAACATTTGTTAGCCAATTGAAAAGGAGTATTTAGACTAAAAAATTACACGAAGGGTGCGCTGGGGTAGGAATATTCCTAACGTTCTTATACAGTAGGAGAATGATGGATATCTACACATATACATATGTACGTCACAATAAAATGTTGAAACCCCTTTTTTGAGGTCACCAATATATCTCTGAAACTTTGCACGGATGGATGAATTGTAAATACCTTACTTACGGAGAAAGCTGGAAGCTATTGGAAAAGGGGGCGTGGCACCTCCCATACATACTGAACATCTCCTAACGCTTTTCTCTAGAACCGCTTACGCCAACGTCCTGAAATTTGACACAGCTACATATGTTATCAGCAGGGAACGGATTTTTAGGACCTAAAAACCTATAAAAAAGGCAAAATAAAATAACAAAAAAATGCAAAAAAAGGCAAAACAAAATAGCGAAAAAGGCAGGAAAAGGCACTAGGTATTGCAAAAAAAGCAAAATAAGGCACTAAAACAGACAGAAAATACGAAGAACAATCAAAAAATACATTTATTTTAGAAATATTTATATTACAAGTAAAAAGAGAAAAACTATGACTAGTTTCATTATATGACAAATTTGTACTTTGAATCTTTGACTATTTTATCCTTTCGAGTTTCTAACTCATAGAACTTTAATCTGTATAGTTGTAGTAACAATGAACCACAAGATGCATTTTGAAGTTTTCTGGCACCATTTTCATTCGATTTTCGCGAAGAAAAGCCTTGAATGTACTAAATGTGCGCTCGACGTGAGTTAATACAAGTGGCGCCCAATTTGAATATGGAAAATTCAAAACTTTCATATTATCAGGAATAAGGGCCTTTTCCTCGCCCTTTACAATTTTATCCACACATCTTATTGTCTCCAAACCTACGTTAGCTGAGAAAACGGCTTTGAATTTTTCCAACACCAATTTGGCAAAAGGTCCCTGCTCTTCTATAAGCCGCATGGGCATATGTATATTTTTTAATCTTAAAAAAAAGGTTTAAAGGTAGAAAAAGTAAAAAAAGGTATTTGATCTTAAAAAAGGAAGATATTTGATCTTAAAAAAGGCAAAAAGGGCAAATATTTTAAAAAAGGCAACATCAAATGTGTATACCCTGCAAACCATTTTATCAGAGTATTCTGAATCGTAAAGAAATTTTAAAGAATTCGGAAAGATCCCATCCGATTTTTTGGAGAAATTTCTAAAATGAAATAAATTACGCACACTTCCATTCTTTTCCGAAATTTCGGAAGAAAATCGGTAAAGAAATGAAAATAATGTTGCTATGTGAAGAATTTCTTGCAGACTTTTTTCAAAATTTTCTTTATTTTTCGTACAGAAATTTCTTTACGAGTTCGTGTCAACCACTTCATATAATTTTCTTTGAAGATTCGGAAAAAAATCGTTACAGAAATCAGATACTCCTAAAGATTTCGTTAAAATTTCGGGAACTTTGGTTTGCAGGGTATATGGAATCAAGGAAATCTAAATCGTGGACATTCTTAATCGAATATACTCTATCTCTTTAGCAGAAAAAAGGCAATTTCCTTAAAAGCCGTTCCCTGATATCAGTGCGAAAAGTGGCAGATATAGGAAAAGGGGGCGGGGCACCTCTCATAACGCCCTAAATTTGAAAAAGCCACATATGTTATCAATAACTTACTTTCAGAGAAAAGTGGCAGGTATTGGAAAAGGGGGCGTGGCATCTCCCATACAAACTGAAATTCTTATATCTTCTTATGTCCTGAAATTTAAAACAGCTATATATGTTATTAATGCGATGCTCACGATGGAGAGTGGCAGGTATTGGAAAAGGGGGCGTGGTACCTCCCATACAAACTGAACTTTTCATAACGCTTATCCCTGGAACTGTTTAAGCTAGCGTCTTGAAATTTGACACAGCTATGTACATATGTTGTCAATAACGAACTTGCTGCCTTCGTTAGCGTAGAGCCATCGCAGGAGATCTGTCAGTTTCATGCCAGGCGAAATGTTCATCGCAGAGATATTTTGGTACTTGGGCATGTCATCGCACAAGATTTCATTTCAAAAAGTGCTTACGACGCATAACGAAAATTACTGTATTCGCAAAAATAACATACTCCACGTTGTTTTGAGCATATATATAATAGAAAAACACAACTTTATCAAAATCTAAAGCTCAAAAAAGCTCTGAAGCTATCTTTTTAACAGTTCACCCTTGCGATGAACGGTCTACACAAGCGAATCATCGCCAGAGATCCATCGCAAAACATGAACAATCGCTAATGGGGACAGCAAGTTACGTCTAAAAGTGGTAGTTATTGGAAAGGCTGCACCTATACATATATGTACATATACATAGATAAGCAAGCATTACTGGGAACCATTTTCTCCTAGATTTCTAATTCGCATTGGATGATTGTTTCTTTCTTTTTAATTTTTGGGAAAGGGTAAAATTTTTTGTGGAAATTTTTAAGATTTTTTTTAATTTTGCACAAAGTATGAAATTTAAATTTTTATGACTTTCGTTATTCGGACTGAACTTAAAAACCACTGGATAGAGTTCAGTCAAATTGTCGGAGTTTATACCGTTCACATATGGTCCTATTATAGACTAACTACTAGAAAACTCGCTTGGTGGCACTGGAGTTGGGTCATTTATAAGGGTCGTATTTCATGACCGATTTCGTTCAAATTCGCAATGTAAGCCACCTGTATGATGAATTCGTTTGCAAGAAATGGACCTGCTGGGTGGCGGTGGAGGCGATATATTTAGAAAATCCTTATTTTTAAATCAACCTGGTTGAAATTTATAATAATCATTTCATGATAAACCCCATAGGTGTGGCCTCCCTTGGCCCTAAAAGTGGCTTCCAAGAAGGAACACGGTTGGTATATCAATGGCTTCATTTGAACGATATTCAAGAGATCACACGACTCATTTAGCCAATGTACGGGAAAGCTTTTCATTCTGAGGGGCTGCGAGGATTCTTGGCCCTCTTATAACAGAAAACGTTCATCTGTTCTCTTAGGCTTCCTTATAAGGACTTTTATTGGCTTCCGCATCGGACCAGTGTTGTAGTTGCAAGATCAAAGGGGATTATACACGCTTGGCAGAGATCTCACAGGTGGAACAAAAGACCATCGCCAAAGCTCATAACATTGAAAGGGATTAGTATTCCATATGGCATCAAAGAGCTACTATCTTTGGCCTTTTTTACTGTACAGACCGTTTTTTATTTTAAATGCTATTTTTGCATTGGTCCACGCAAAAGTTCTTATTAGGCGCCGCGTTTTAATTTTAGATTAAATTCGATAACCACTCCCAAAAAATTTATTTTTAGACTAATAGAATTATAGGGAACATTTTAAAAACATTTTAATTGCATTTAAGAGAAGTGAGTATTATTCAGTATTTTTACAGCATCGGTGTTTCTTTGGGTAAAATTTAAATATATTTTTTTACTGTTCTATATAGGATTGGGCAGGTTGATAATATAGCGATGAAAAAGTGGCAAATGAACTACCTTCTTTTTTGTATCATGGCCGTAACAGTATAACATCAGAACTGTATGAACGAAATATTGTTCATTTCTTTCATTTTCTTAAATTTTCATTTTATTAAGTTTCATTTTATTTTATATTTGGCTATTTCTTGTTTTGCTTTATTTTATTTAAGCATGTAATTTTGATTTATATTATTTTGTTTTTTAGTGAAAAAAATTAACTAACAAAACATAAATGTATTAATATAAATCTATTAATAGCTGTGTTTTTTTGCACGCATATACATCTACGCTGAACGTGTAAAGAAAAACAATCATCGAAAATTTCCATTTCAAAACAAGTAATTTTGATTTTATCGACAACTATTTATAAGGGCATATAAAGTTTGTCACTTAGAGCTCCATACCATTTTTAAGCGCAGATACGTATGGGTGTACAAAAAAAAAACACGCCTAATATAAATCTAAACCAAGCCATTTGATGGTTTAGTGAGCAATTTTCCAAAAAGCATACCAAACCTGTTTGACATGCAGACAACATACAAATAAATAGCTCCAAACCGCACTCTTACTTTCCCATTATTGTTTATTATTTATACCAGTGTTGCCAAGTTTTTAATTTGAAAAAGCACTAAAACCCAAAAACACATCGCGTTTTTCTCGAAAAAAGCACCAAATTTCTATTGGAGTATTTAAAGGACTTTGTATGCATAAAAAATTCTATTGCAGGGATGTTAAATCAAATTAGTAAGAATCAATGTTTCGTGCTCGACGGTCGAATTTGTTCTGTTTCCTATAAATTCAAATATTTTCGTCCAAGCGACGTTAATAGAGAAGACACCAAGCACTAAACTCAAAAATTTTTGCGTTTTGAATAAAGAAACGCACTAAATTTAATGCGAAAAGCGCCAAGTTGGCAACAGTGTGTATGAGTGTTATTAATTGATTTCCCCTCTCTTACTCCAAAAACGGCGTTCTCACTTCCAAATGCTCATTGCGTGCCGTCTCAAAGTCAAAATCATTCAACACCAACCACAACAATTCTTGCATCCAAGTTGTGCCACATTTTGGCAGCGTCACCAGCCAAACATCATCGTCTTTCACCTCCATATCGTGCACCTTATCAACGAAGGCTTGACCGCTATTTTCAAATAGCTTTCGCTTGGTCCAGTCTTTGTTCAACAAATTAGTGGGATAGCTTTTAGCGTGCACGGGAACTTCTTCCATTTCGAAAATAGTGAAAAACAAAATAATTACTGTGAAACTAGGCAATATCTACTCTCGAACACAGTTGAAGTACTACTATTGAAATTTATTGTATATTTTTGTTGTGAAGCCCATCGAATCCATTTGTGCATTCTTACATACATACATATGTACTTATTATTGTTATCAAAATTCGCAAATATATGCGTGGATTGTGTACAAATAAAATGTACGCATTAGGGTGAGTTTATTTTGAAGCTGATATTACATACTCTTTGGCATAGCTGTGATAGAATAGGGTAATACTTAAACTCGTAAAATATAAGTTATCTGCAATGGTGTACAAAGTCAGCGCAATACTTTTAGGCTTTTTAGAACATGACTACGTCGAAGTTTTCATCGTATGCGTGGGAAATTTTTTTGGATGCATGGCTGCGCGATGATTAAACTGTTAAACAATTTTAAACACCCTAATGTTTTGATGCTGGTTTTGTTTTTATGAAAAAAAAACTCTAACCTATAGAGATTTTCTTTGTTTGTTAACTGCTAACTATGATAATACTTAAGTAGATTCTTACATAGCAAAGACTACATACTTATGTTTACAATTATACCAGATCACGTAAGGAGCACAGTAGCCATTTGTAATCGTATTAAGGAAAAAAGTATACCGATTTCACATTAGCTTAAATCCTCTTCATATACATATATTCGCCATTGACAATATGTGTACACATAAGGTAAAGTACAATGTAACACCACAATATGATTTATTAAAGAATTTGAAAAATATAAATCACTAGCAGACCCGGGGAACTTCGGCCCGTCCAGAATCAAATCTTTTATTGAAACACTTCGATCCAACATTTTCATCAACTATTCACGTTCACGATTTATCTGCTAATATTATGGTTTGGTGATTGTCGGGAAGGCATATTTCCATGGCCATCTTAAATAACCTAAGGGAAGTGTTATGTCCGAGAAGAAACTCTTTCAATTATTCAATGATGTATCGTTTCAAGTCACGGTTTATCAAACAACGTAACTAATTTGAAGATCTTTTTCCCCTACACTCCCTGACGGCAACAATGGTCCGCTTCGATGGTGAATTTGTCCTTGAAACTGTATAGTGTAGTTGGTGGCGATTTCAAAAAGGCTGAGTATCATTGGTCTACAGAAGTCCAATATATATAGACTTATTCAGACGGAATAACGTAAATGTCTTGTCAAGGACAGCAATGGTTCTGGTAGTTGATTTAACTGAGGTCATTTGTGATTAACCCCTAGATAACCTAATTCTGGTGTCTCAGATCGACGCTTCAACGCATAGTAATATTGGCAAACCACGTTCATTGGGCCAGTAGAAACACACAGAAGTTCGACATACGCAGTGGTGCAGCAGGTCGATGTAATCAGACATTCGCGGCACTTTTTTTACTGGACGTTTTTTAGTAATAAGTCGACTCCAGCGCCATCTGGCAGCTCTTTTTTGTAATGTTTGCATTGCCAGTACATATCCCGAATATAAGCCAAATCGGATCATAAATACGAATTTTTGTAATATCTCGACTTTTCCGCAGAAATATTTCCCTTTACGATATCAATACATAGTTCGAATCGGATCACAGATATGATTTTTAGTATTATCTCCACTCCAGCGCCACCTGGTTCGTCAAATTGTGAGCCCAAACTATCCAGAGACCCACTCAAACTCACACAAAACTTTTCGTTAAATTTAGCCCAGCTATTTAGGAGAAGTTCACTCGCAAACACACGTACAGAAGAGCTATATATACCATATGTAAATACAATAATAGGTACAAGTTTTCAAATAGCCCTAGTTTTCTCTATGGGTATGGGAATGATTTCATATACCTCAATACCAAATTTCAGTACTCTAACATGAACACTTCCAGAGATGTGCAATTTGAAAAATTCGGTTTGTATGGGAGGTGCCGTGCCCCCTTTATATATCGAAATTTTTTTAATCTATAAACATCCTTGGAAAGTCTTCAGTAGGCGTCCGAAATTTAAAAAAATATGTCCAACCGTGGTATGTGAGTTAGGGTTAGGCAGGCACAACAGAAAACAGGGGGCACAGTATGTTCTTAGCTGCCTGTAGTTGAGCGGAAAAGATTCCGTGAAGTCCCGGAGATTTGGAGGACTACAAGGACATTAAAGCCCATACCACCCTCTCATCACTTACGACGTCCCTAACAGTATCAGACAGAGACAAGTAAGTCCAAGAACCGGGCGAACTACCGGAGGTGTCGTCCGAGCAGCCCGGAAAGTGAGTGCTCATAAGGACCTCCAGCATTTCGTTACATGATGACGTCCAGTCACTGTTAGGCTTCTGGATAGAGTTCACACTTGAAGAGGATTTCGAAAGAACTTTTCTCAGCCTATTGGCTTCAGAGTTCTTTTCTATATAGTTGCAGAAGCTTTGCCAAGATTCGCGTTTTGCCCTTTTTTGGCCTTCTTGAAAACTTCGAGTGCGTCTGTGTAGGGTTGCCAAAGACCTGTTCGGTTGGCTTGATTGAAGAACCTCCTTCTGTTTGATGTCAGTACTGAAATCTCAGGAATCCACTACTGGGGTTTCTTTTTGCCCTTCGAAAGGATGCTTGGGCTTTGAAAGCTGCATTACAGGCATTTGTCACAAATTTCATTGCTTTATCAATTTTTGACGATTAGTCCGGTAGTATTTACTTTATGTTGTGTTAAACCATTGCCATTCCAAAACCGAATTTTCAAAACCTTCATGACTTGAAGAAAAAAATTTTGATTTTTTAGATATTTTCGGTTTGGTCCAGCCCTTGAATGATCCTGAATTGAGTCAAAATATTTTAGTAAAAACCATAAAATGGTCAAGGTTGTAGAATATTCAAATCATTAAATATAAAACTTCTACTTTTTCGCTATTTTTTTATATTATTTTCTTTAGTATAAAATTAATTACAAAAAATTATAATAGTTATTGTCATGGAAAATTAATAGTAATGAGCAATTAAAATATTTGTGCGTATAAACAATGAAAAACAGTCTGTTTGATTCAAATTCGCTAGATCAATTTAGGACGTGCTGATCTCAACTTTCTTTGCATTATCCTCTTTCGAGGACGGACCGGTTTGTGCTATGGGCACGACACGCTCGGTGGCAGGTGGTGGCAGCTTCTTCATGGGCGCTGTGATGGTGAGCAAACCATCTGAAGAAAGCGATGAGGTCACATTGTCGGGATTGACGTCACCTAGAATATGAGAAGAAAAAAATAAGTTTTAGTTAACTCAACAAGCAAACTATATTTATAAAAAAAATCAGTGCAAAATATTGCTCGTCATTCTTACTTGGCAGTAAATAACGTCTGGAGAACTGTCTGGACACGAAACCGTGCTCATCCTGTCGCTCTTCATGTTTACCCTCGACAAGTACAAATTTATCGGTCACCTTGACTGTGATTTCACTGGGTGTGAATTGTTGCACATCCAAGATGACTTCGAATTTTTCGTTGTCAATGTTGAGCGTGGAACCCGATTCTTGCTTCTGCAGGCTGGTAGGTGAGCGTTGCCATGGGCGCAGGTAACCGGAACGCAACATTGTTGGGCGAGAGCTCCAAATGGATGAAAGGAGGTCATCGCGTCTGTCATAGAGAAACAAATTAAATTCGATTTCGATTAGATTTACACAATTAAAAAGGATACAGGTCTAAATAAGTAGGGAAATCTTCTTGATCCACTCACTTCAGTCCTGTGCCGAAATGTTGGTCCAAGAGGCGCGAAGTGCGCGTTGGAAATTCAAAATCATCCCACCAGTCACGAAACATGAGTGGCACTACTGACATCTACGGTATAAAGGCAGTTTCCAAAATGAATTTGTGATGTAACGAAGCACAAGCCCGCAGCAAATGAAGGATTCAAATGTGTGAACCGGTTTTGTTGGTGAGGACCAAGGTTGAAAAGTAGAGAAGAACACTAATGGTAATTAATAAAAATCACCACCAAATGTTGAAAATATATTATTTCAGGCCAAAATACTGAACACTTTTACAAATGAAAAATTTTTAATGATTTTTTTTTAATTCGGTTTTTTAATTTGTATATATTTTTTGTTGTTTTTCACAATGATTCACCTTTTTGAAATTAATAAGATATGTATATTCACACTTTTGGCTGTATTTGTACGTTTTCTCGCGTTTTTCAGCTCGGTTGCGTCTTCACTCTTACGCGTTTGCTGCGATTTTGAACTGAAGATCTTGTGCGATCACTGATTTTATATCCAAGCTAAATTGTTTGTGCTTTCGATTTTTTTTCGCTCTTTCCGCTTTTCTAGATGATTTTCGTTTAAAAATATTAAATGAAAAATTTCGTATCTATTTTTAGGAAAGCGTCGTCATATCATGTTGTTGGCATTTTCACGCCAATTCAAATCGTTGGTATGTAGATGAATGTATGTATGTAAATGCATTGTTTAGAACGCGGCATAATGGAGCGTACTAAACGTTGAAGTAGAAGTATATTTTAATTTTTTTTATTTTTGGAAAAAATTTTCACTTAGAAGTGTGAAAGTATTAAACCTTTACAAAAGTATTTTCAGAAAGTCCAACCAAATAAAGCATGAAAAGACAATTAAGTCCTTGTGAGAGTCTAGATCAGGGTATGTAACGGTTTGATCTTATTAATACAAATATTTTTTGAACCGTTAAAATTGGATTTCTTTATTTCCGATGAAAATTATGAGTTTTATTTTTTCGATCAAAAATAATCGTTATTTTTGAGTTTTATTTTTCCAATTTCGCTTCACTCACACTTCAGGGAGGCTTAAATAAGATAGCATTCTGGTTAAAAATTGGCAAATAAAATCTGATGAGTCAAAATTCGTCTAGGGGACATTCACCCTCAATCGAGATACCTGACCGCCCGCCAAACTCAATGTTGTAAATATATCCCAAAGCAACGAGACTAAATATCTTTATATATATACAAACCGTATATATATTACAAACCGTAAGGCCATAGGACTTTTGACTGCCATTCACCTGGGAGGGGCCAGAAGCGATTCTTGTGCGTACGGTTCAAATCGCAGCTCTCAACGTCTGGATGTTTATATCCACGTATCCTCTGGGTAGCAACCAAACACCCGTTTGGAAGCGAGCTAAAGTGAGAAGACGTAAAACTTCGCGTGCGCTGGGTTTGGGTCTCGCCACGTTAAAACCCCGCCCAATGCAAAGAAAAAAACAGCCTCAGATGAGACCCTCTTTTTCTGATGACGACCACGGCAAGCGTATAAAGGACTATGATTTAAGGGTATGCACCTGGAATATCCGGACCCCTAATGGTGAAGGTGCCTCTGCCCGGCTGGTTGATGTCCTCAGGAAGACAAAGGCTGACATCACCGCCGTCCAAGAAATGCGATGGACGGGACAAGGAAAAGTAAGCGTAAAGCCTTGCGACGTCTACTACAGTTGCAACGTAAAGGAGCGCAAATTCGGTGTTGGATTCGTGGTAGGAGAGACCACGGTGTTGGAAAAGACCCGCGAGAATAGGATCGACACACACCATCCATCTATTTGTCGATTTCAAAGCCGCTTTCGACAGCACGAAGAGAAGTTGCCTTTATGCCGCGATGTCTGAATTTGGTATCCCGGAGAAACTAATACGGCTGTGTGAAATGACGTTGAGCAATACCACCAGCTCCGTCAGAATAGGTAAGGACCTCTCCGAGCCGTTTGATACCAAACGAGGTTTCAGACAAGGGGACTCCCTTTCGTGTGATTTCTTTAATCTTATGTTGGAGAAGATAATAAGAGCCGCAGAACTGAACCGCTCAGGCACAATACTTTATAAGAGCGTACAATTGCTGGCGTATGCCGACGACATCGATATTATCGGTAAAAACAAGGGCTACGTCTGTTCTGCCTTCTCGGGATTGGATAGAGAAGCAAAGCGAATGGGTCTGGTGGTGAACGAGGACAAAACGAAGTATCTCCTGTCAGCACACAAACAGTCAGAGCATACGCGTCTTGGCACCCACGTCACTGTTGACAGTTACAAGTTTGAAAAAGTAGACGACTTCGTTTATTTGGGAACCAGCATTAACACCAATAATAATGTCAGCCTTGAAATCCAACGGAGAATCACTCTTGCCAACAAGTGCTACTTTGGGCTGAGTAGGCAATTGAGAAGTAAAGTCCTCTCTCGTCGTACAAAGATCACACTCTATAAGTCACTCATCATGCCTGTGCTGGTGTATGGCGCGGAAGCATGGACAATGAAAGCATCTGATGAGGCGGCTCTTGGAGTTTTCGAGAGAAAGATTCTGCGAAAGATTTACGGACCTTTACGCGTTGGTGATGGCGAATATCGCAGACGATTTAACGATGAGCTGTATGAGCTTTACAACGATATAGACATAGTGCAGCGAATTAAAATTCAGCGGCTCCGCTGGCTTGGCCATGTCGTTCGGATGGACAGAAACGCTCCTGCTCTGAAAATATTCAACGCGGGCCGCGATGCTGGTAACAGAGGAAGAGGAAGGCCTCCTCTGCGTTGGAAAGACCAGGTGGAGAAGGACTTGGCTTCACTTGGCATTTTCAATTGGCGTCAGTTAGCACAGAAGAGAAATGACTGGCGTGCTGTTTTGGACTCGGCCAAAATCGCTTAGGCGGTTACAGCGCCAATAAAGAAGAAGAAGAAGGCCATAGGACTTAAGCTCCCTACCCTGCAATGGCTTAAGCATCGTCGGTCTCAATTATCTATTGACAATAAACTTCTGCTATACTCTACTATTAAAAAGCCGATCAGCAGCCCGTTTCTGTAACAATTCTCTACCAAGGCAAATTAATATATGAATTCGCCGCCTTGTTCTCTACTGCTAATGAGTAGTAGAGAATGACGTGTGTTCTCTACTAGTAGAGAAATAATAAGTAAAGAAGAGTTACATAAACGAGCAACTGGACTTACTGTATTCAGTTGTGGGGAACTGCAGCAAACTCTAACATAGAAAAACTTCAAAGATTTCAATCGAAAACTCTCAGAAGTATTATGTATACGTGCACCTTATTATGCCACAAACAAGCAACGAGCAACTGCATCGTGATCTTAAAGTCCTAACCGTTACAGAAGAAATCAAAAAACATGATGTCTCTTATAATCTAAGGGCCAGTTTCCCAATGTCTGGTTAACACTAACTACAGGTTACATGTTATGGAGTCGATCACGTCGATAACGATGTTTAGCCTGCAGTTAGTGTTAACCAGACATTGAGAAACTGGCCCTAATACTGGAAATCCACCCTAAGCCATTTATAACAGAAATGGCATCCTGCCGAAACCTCCTCACCTGACTGAGGGAAAAATTTACAACCGATCTTCTTCGTTGAGTATACAAGTTGATTAAAGTAAAGTATTAAATTATAACAACTAATACAATTGTAAAATGTAACAACTACAGATGGCAATAAAAATATGATTCAAAAAAAAATATTAATAAATCTGTGTTCACCTAGGTGAATTACATACACATCGCTGCATAATCTGCTAAAAATCAAAAACAAATGCTAGACAGCAGAAAAACATATGAGTTACCTATGTATGATGTATATATGTACATTCGCACTTATGTAGGTATGTATGTACATATACACAGTTTGGTTTTTGTGAAATATTTCTAGAATATTTTTCGGTCATTTTGCCACATTTTTCATCAAAATGACTAACAACGAAACGATTAACTTATGAGTCCAATCAACAATGAGTTCACAATATGAGGTAGGCGAAACCAAAACAAAAACATTCTAAAAATAAAAAATTTAAGAAAATATATATATTTGTATGTTTCGCAAAGTGGTACTTAAGCAGACCAAATGGCATAAACCTACATAAATTAAGAAGCAAAAAACAAAAAACAACAGATGAGTAAAAAAAAGTATATACACTTAAACACACATTACACATAAGGGGTTTCTCTGATAATTTAAATTTTTATTTATTTAATAAGTTTGAATAAAACATATTTATTAATTCACATTCAATTAATGTATGTATATCTGTTAAAATTAAACTATACTCGAAACTGAAAAAATACGTTAGTGGGGGAGCAAGTGTCTCCGATGATGGCAAAGCTTTTCTACTTCAAAATTTCTTCGGGAACACAAGAAAAATTCGAAATTCGCATATCGCATACATCTTGAACTGCTTATGCTATCAATAACGATCTTATGCCAAATTTTACACAGCTATTTATGCTACCAATAACGTACTTATGGCGAAAAGTGATAGACTTTGGAAAAGAGTCGAGGCACCTCCCATAAAAATTGAACTTTTCATATCGCTTACCTGTGCAACCTCTTACGATAAGGTAATGGAATTTGATACACGTACATCTATATTTATGTATATAAAATTCAATTGGGAACCTCTTTCTAAATTGCATTGAATGATTTTTATTTTGTACAAAGGTTTTTAGAAGGATCAGTGTGTTTGTCCTCCGATAGGTGGCGCAGGGATTGAGTACTGTCCTAAAAAATCGTTTTTACGGTCAGATTTGCTTCGTCTTTGGAATACATGTTTGTAACATAAAATTTGGTATAATTTGGTAGCCCAATCGTGTGATGCAAAAAATATTTAGCTTTGACCCAATCTTGATAAAACCCCGTGTGAAACCGCTGTTATATTTTTTTTGTACACCTCGGAGCTAACTTCTTAACCTTTACCGATTCTGATGACAAGAAAGCGGAGTTTATATAGATGTTGGCAATTTAGTTTTTAACCTTTCAGACCAATATAATCGAAAAACGTATTTACAGTCTGAATTGGTATATGTTTAACATATTAGTCAGTGAGGAACCGTTAGGCATCTCATCTATACATACAAATATATACGCATATTTTTTATAAATGCAAATCCAGGTTCCTTTCGCGGTCTATTTGGTGTTAAATTTTCCTGTACATTCGCTAACTTTTGGTGGTGGACTTCAAAATCGTCATTCACATAAAGGAGTCAAAAGTGTATGAAAAAAATGTCGAATTTCGGCAACTGGGCGATACTAGTTTATACTAAATTTCCGTAAACAACGACAGTTTAGAACAATAATAATGTACGGATCGGTTAAGCTTTAATTTCATTTGAACCTAATTTACCAACATAACTATTTCATTAAGACCTATAAAACTTTCCAAGCATTTACATTGAATATAATGATACTGTATCGCATTTTGAAAAATCTTTCGAAGACTTTCGGCCATATTTACC